AGCTGCTTGTTCATCCACACAGGCACACAAATTAGAGCAATAATTAGGTAAAAGTAGCAAAATAAAATATATAAGATCACATCCTGATCCATTTGCTAAATTATTTTCTTCTATATCAATAGGAACAGAAAAATAACCCTGGGTAACTACACTGATGATTCACACTCTCCGAGGTCAAATTTGCTACTATTGTAAATTTATGTCTTGATTTTGGCTGGAATGGATTTATTTTTCTTCATAGTAGCTTGTATGGTGCTATGTTTTGGATTTGTGATGATACCCCTCCCTGCTGCTATTGCTGAGCAGTGCTTACACAGCCTCAAGGCCTTCTCTGTGAGTAGGCTGGAGGTGCATAAGAGGTTGGGGGGACAGCTGACCCCAACTGACCAAAGGAATATTCCATACCATATGGCGTCATGCTCAATATATAGAGCTGGGGGAAGAAGGAGGAAGGGGGGATGTTCAAAGTGATAGTGTTTGTCTTCCGAAGTAACCGTTACATATGATGAAGCCCTGATTTCCTGGAGATAGCTGAACACCTGCCTGCCAATGGGAAGTGGTGAATGAATCCCTTGATTTGCTTCGCTTGTGTGTGCGGCTTTTGCTTTACCTGTTGAACTGCCTTTATCTCAACTAAAAGTTTTCTCATTTTTAACCTCCCGATTCTCCTTCCCCCCTCCATCTCACTGTGGGGAAATGAGTGAGGGACTGTGTAGGGCTGAGCTGCCTACCAGAGCCAGAGGGGTTCGAGATAAAGACAGATTTGATTGGAATGTGCTAGCGCGGATTTATAGCTGCTACAGCTGTTTAGCTATTAATTGGCGGGCTCCTGTGCTTGCCACGGGGCTTGCTTGCTTTGCTTTATATTTGAGTCCAGTGACTGTCAGTGGCTGCTATTTGCTGTAGTGCTTATCATCTTGCTTTGCTGTGCCTGGGAACATTCTGATAACAGCACTGGCCACGTGCCTAGGCTGGCACATGGCCAGGGCATTGCTGCTGTTCCTGTACTGCTGTAGTAGGCATGCTGTAACTGTAGTCTCAACTCCAGTTGAAGGGACTGTGACCTGAGAGTAACTCCATGCTGGAGCAGATACACTCCAAAGTGTCTGCGGCTGTGGATGGGTTCGCAGTGGTGCAGGTACCCCTCCGAATCACAGCATCATTTAGATTGAAAAAGACCTTTAAGATTATCAAGTTCAACCGTAAGCCTAACACTGCCAAGTCCACCACTAAGCCATGTCCCTGAGTGCCACATCTACAAAGCTTTTAAATCCCTCCAGGGATGGTGACTCAACCACCTCCCAGGGCAGCCTGTTCCAATGCCTGACAACCCTTTCGGTGAAGAAATTTTTCCCAATATCCAATCTAAACCTCCCCTGGCACAAACGGATATCATTGCCTCTTGTCCTATCACTTGGAAGAAGACCAAGACCCACCTCTTTGCAACCTCAGCTACCTCAGGTAGCTGTAGAGAGCCATAAGGTCTCCCTGAGCCTCCTCTTCTCCAGGCTGAACACCCCCAGTTCCCTCAGCTGCTCCTCACAGGACTTGTGCTCCAGACCCTTCCCCAGCTCCGCTGCACTTCTCTGGACACACTCCAGCACCTCCATGTCTTTGCTGTAGTGAGGGTACGAAAACTGAACACAGGATTCGAGGTGCAGCCTCATCGGTGCCCAGTACAGGGGGACAATCGCGGCCCTCATCCTGCTGCCCACACTGTTCCTGGTGCAGGCCAGGATGCCATTGGCCTTCTTGGCCACCTGGGCACACTGCTGGCTCATATTCAGCCATCTGTCGGCCAGCAACCCCAGGTCCTTTTCCACAGGGCAGCTTTCCTGCTGCCTGTGCGTAAGTCCATACCGGAGCATGGGCAAGCTCATTGCAATATTAAATCTTCTAGCCTCAAAGGAATCAGGCGTGGCGTTTGTAACGGACATAACTTTAAATTGTTGTAACCCATTGTTTAAGCTGCCTGTTAGAGGAAGCACTATAGCAGAAACCAGCTGAACAGAGGACAAGATTCACAAGAAGCCCTGCAAGTGTGACCCAACTTGAATAGGTTTTGGCAGTCAGCAACTCCACACAACACACTTCCTCTCTTTCCTGAGGAACTGCTCTAACAGATGGAACACAGGTCATGGAAAAAAAGAACCCAATGGACATTTTATTTACAGGGGTGACCTGTAGTCTGAGAGAATGATATCTGTCCATATATCAAAGGATGGGCAGGGAGGGAAGGGGGTGATTAATGGGGATGTATTGGTTAATGTTGGACCTGAGCATGACACCAATGGCATGGAATAAGGCATAGAGATTGTACTGGTTTGCACAGGGATGGAGGTAATTTTCTTCATACCAGCTCATATAGTACTATGTTTTGGATGTTTTTATAATCATAAATATTATACATTTATTTATTATAAATTACAGCTCATGCGGTGCTCAACTTTAGAATCACATCAGCATTTGGATATTTACACTTACATAGCCCTAGTAGGCTCTGAAGGTACATTTTCATAACAACCAACCCTTCCATTAACCACCTAATTTGAAAACAAGCAGATTTCATCTTGTACTTAAACAAGACCTTTTAATTGAATTTGACTTGGCTGTGTACCGTTTGTTTTAATGACTACATCTAGCACTACTGAAAAAAACCCGTGTTACAAGCTGAAAGAAGTACGTGACAATGATGGATTGAAACTAAAAGGGAGGAATCCTCTCTTGCTAAATAAGGGAAGGGACCTGAAAACATAGGCGTGACACAGACCTGGGGTTAAGAAGTTGTCTGCTTTCGTATTGTCTTTGTTTAATGCTTTTAACACTTTCTTTGAAGATAACAAATACTCTGGATGACAAACTTTTAACCAAATAGTTGAGTACTTGAATTTGTGGCATTTTTGCATTTTATTGCTTAGCAACATATTACTCCTAATCTCCAGTTAAGAGTTTACTTAATGCCTTCCTTATCTTGAAATGTGACAGAAAGTTTCTCTGCACACAGATAAGGCTTTTCAGCCTTTGACCTTTCTAAATCGTTTTCCTGCTTACTTTGGCTTCCTGCAAACCTACCCCTGATGCAAAAAAAAAAAAAAAAAAAAGGATCTCATTAAAAGAACAAACCACAACCTGTGAGCAAAGTACGTACACACTCGGCGCAGGAGTAGCGCCTGGGTCGCGGCTCAAGTGGGGAGCGCAGCATTCGCGGAGCCGAGAGGCGGATCTCGGCGAGATGGAGCTCCAGGATGATATCATCAAGCATCAAAACAGTCGTTTGGATGAGATGTCTTTACAACCAGACGAGTACGTGAAGAAAAAAGCTCTCCTGAAATACAAAGTCATCTGTGCTGTAAGTAGGTGCTGTTGTTCTTCGGGGCTGCTGGTTTAACAGCTCAAGTTCTTCTGGTACTTCTCAAACGAACGCGTTGGGTTTGTTTGTTTGTTTGTTTGTTTCCTCTGGCAGTTAATGGCACTTGTTTGTTTTACTACCATAACCTGACAGTTCTCGCGTGTGCCCAAAGCGGCCGCAGTTCCTTTCTGCTTACTTTTTTTATCTTTGGATTTGTTAACAAAGCAGAACATGTAGGCAAGGCGCCGGTGGAAAACACTCGGGAAGCAAGGCATGGGGAAAGACGAGGGAACTGTTTGATACAGCATCGTCAGTCCCACACCTCAAATCTCCTGTCAGCTCTTCCCCTCTTCCCCAGGGCTTTTAAGAGTCGTGCAGCTGCCTTGTAAATAACAATGCGTAGGATTTTGTTGTGTTTTTTTTTTTTTTTTAAAGTCTTTTTTTGCAGCCAATACACAGTTTTAAGCTTCTGTTTGTGACCACAAAAGAAACAAACATTAATTAAATAAATAAATGGATAAATAAATAAATATATTTGCACAAGCTCTTGCATCTGTAAACTGGAATTTAGATAAAATGACAGGTACTGATTTTGGAAAGACTCGAAACTTAATTTTGAAAACAGCCCTATGAAAAAGAGAGTCAAGTTATGATACTCTTCAGCTCTATGTCATCAGTACAATTCCACGTAGTACAGCTTCCTACTTAATGCTGCAGGGTGCAAGGACTGCATAAAATAGGAGGGAAATACTAGAAATTGGGGGGGGGAAGAGAAAGTAAAATTACAGACATTTTTTCCTTAAGTCTTCATAAAATATATGTGACTCTTCAGTACAAATAAATGAATCATGAGAAATAATGTGAGAAAAATGCCTATGAAGGAAAGTAAATGATACTTTCAAATGGTACTTGGAAGAATAAAGTGAGAAATTTAATTATCCTAAAACATATTCATTCTTCCAAATACACTAGTTTTCAATTGCTTGCCTATATGGAAAAAAACCCCAAAATCTAAATATTGGAGGTGTAAACTGTTAATATTCTATGCCATTTATCTACATTTTTTATAAAGTATATGCACAAAATACCTCCTTGGCAACTTCTTCCTGCAGGCTTAGGCAGAGAATTGTGTACTCACAAATTGAACAGGGCATATATGCATTAGGAATAACTTTTTTTATGAATAAATACTCCTGAATTTACACATAAAAGTTAACTTGGAAAGTCTGATGTTTTGCATAGGTGCTACCAGTGTTATTTCATCTTAAGGATGAATGTCTCAAAATCAAGGTGCTTTGTGTAAGTGCTGTAATAAATGCAGCATCTCATCTGCATACCTGCTATGAGTTTTTGGTTTTCACTTCAGCTCTCTCATTGCTTTCAGCATTGGGAATGTTTGCTGCTGTAATAGCTGTACTTTCAACTCGGTATCATCTATTAATTTCAGTTACAAATGTGAGTTTTAATGCAAACAGAGGGTAAAACCAGAGTGAACTTTGAGGCAAAAAGTGTATGCCCTGGTGATTGGACTGGTCAGTACTTAGTGAAATAAGACATTATACTCCCTGCCCAGAAAGAGCAGCCACTGCTCTAGCCCAACAGGACCCCCTGATTCCCAGTCCTTGCTGACTGGGTGTAGGATTGTTGTAGTTCAGTTCCAGTCAACAACTAAGTACCACACAGCCACTTGCTCTCCTCCTCCCCTTCCTCCAGTGGAGGAATAGAGTCAGAGGAAAAGACAAACCCATGGGTTGAGACAAGAACAATTTAATAATTGAAAGTAAATGAAATAAAATAATGATAGCAATAATTATAACAGTACTAATAATATGCGATGAAAATAGTGGAAAAGAAAACAAAGGATACAACCGCTCACCACCTGCCGACCGACCGAGAGCCAGAGCCAGAGAGAGAGCAAGACAGCCCAACCCATATACCAAGCATGACATTTTATGAACTGAAATATTCCCTTGGCCAGTCTGGGCCAGCTGTCGTGACCGTGTTCCTTCCCAGCTCCTTGTAGTGAAGAAGCTGGGAACACAGGCGCAACACTGGAAACCGAAAAAGCCCTTGACGTGGTACAAACACTCCTCAGCAACAACTAAAACCACCAGTGTTATATCAATACTCTTCTCAGTGCAAATGCAAAACAAACCCCATACAGCTATTGTGAAGAAAATTGACTCTGTCCCAACTAAAACAAGCAGAAGGATTAAACTACTGCCTTCACGCCTGGGGCCTCTCCTCAAGAGACTTCGGAGTTTCTGCCACTTTGGGCAATCTTTCCAAACACTCTTAGTCCCTCTTACAGAGCTCGTTCTCCATTTCCATTTCCATTCATCCTTTTGGGGTGTTTATTCTGTACCAAAACCAGGGATTGAGCAGCAGGAAGAAAGTAAAAGTGGGAGAGAGAAAAGTGTGAATGAAGTAGCTTTGATGTTACTGGTGTTTGGTGTTGCTTGGGAAAAACATCAGTGACATGAGGCTGGAGATGGTGGGCAGCAAGGGAGAAACAGGAATATTTTTGAGCACGGTCGCAGGGACCATAGAAGCAGGAGGAGAAAGCATGGGGTCTAGAAGTAGCCTCTCCAACTGTATCTGTCCAGAGGAAGAGGTATGTGCTGCACCAGACACACAGTTAGGTGAACTGGCCGTCTCTGTTAGAGGGCCAGTTGGAGCATGCTACACTCCTGCCTTCCGGGCTTGATTGCCTGGATCTTCCTGGTATATGGGAAGGAATAATGTGCGCTTAGACTGTGTCCAGGAATGGAGTTTCTCCACGGCCAAATTGTACACCCACACTTGAGAACTGGGCAGCCCTCCCTGCTGCCACACTTCTGCCCAGCACCTGCAGGGCAGTAACAAAGAGTGCAGGGTGGGTGTTTCTGTGAGGAGGGATGGATGAAAAGTAACAGGATGGCATATGTGTGCTTGGTTATATCCTACATACTCACACAGTTTTTCTTGGGCCCTTATAACTGCTGTAGTCTCAGTTAAGAGACTCCATTACAGTAATACCAAGTACAAGGGTAAGCTGCTCTTATTTCTTCTTGATTTTGATTATTAGTATTTGCTAGTGCCTGGTGGTTCCTGGAAAAGACAGGAGACAAAAGTAGGTTCTGAGGCAAAAATGGGAAGTAAATTGGGCAGACTTATGGTGGTTTTCTGTGATATGGATTTTCTTTCCCGTTGTTGCCTTAGTGAAGAGGCAGGTGCATACACTTACTGTGACAGCACTGTCCCTTTTCACGCTGACTTTCAGCCAGCACACACAGCCCTTCATCTGGAGTGCCTGTTGAGTTGATGGAGGCCTCCTCAATCTCCCAAACGTTATGCTGCTTTCTGTGATGGGACTCCTTGGGCTGGTCGTCTCTTCCCAATTTCCTTTAACTCACTAGTGGGGTGACTCAGTATGAGAAACTGGCACGTGGATGAAAATTTGACACTTGCAGCCTCAATCCAGCTGAGTCTCTTAAGAATTCCTTGTAAGCATTTCAGGAAAACACAGAAGTTGAATAAAAGGAATTACCTTCTCTTTGCACAGATAAAGAATTTTCAGACTAGGTAAATATATTGACTACTTCCTGCTGTCTTTTCCCCGGCAAAGACTTCCCCAATTACAACATGAGACTGGCCATAGGTTAAAAGTGTGGTATTAAGGTGTTGGCTTGTAAGCAGTTCAGGAAATTATCATTCTTGTGCCTCTTCTGTCTTCAGGCTGAGAATGTCTCTTGTTTTTTGATGAACAAGTTCAGAGAAATGATCAGTTCATAAGAAATCATATGTTCATAGAAATAATAATCACACTGTTAATTTCTAATAAACATAACAGTTTATCACAATTGTGAACTTTATTTCCTGTCTCTATGTGCCAGGTTCTGCTGTGTGCTTTGGTGGTTATATCCCTGGGACTAGGTTTAGGACTAGGACTGAACCGTGGAGACGAGGAGCAAGGTATGTTTGTGATACTTTCCGCATAATTACTGCTGACTTAGATCCGGTAAAGGCCTTCAGCAGAGGCTCTTTTATAGTGTGATGCAAATGCACTGTGAAAACTTACAGCCTTTTAAAGTTCTTGCATTTTTCAAGTTAGATTGTATAAATGCTCTACACTCATGATCTAGACTTGAACAACCTATCCTAAACCACTGAATGCCTTGCTTCTTTTTCCATAAGCATTAAACCTAGTTTATACAACAGGTTTGGAAATTTTATCAAAGTAATATTTTTAGGAAACTTGAGATGGGAGCCATCTTATTACATGTAATACCTTGCAATTATTTAAAAAAATGTTTTGTAGAAGAGATCATTAGGCCATCTTCAGGACTCACACTTTTGGGGGCATTTGGCATAGTTCAGGTGGTTAATGATACTGATTATGAATTTTCTGTGAAAACTTCAATTTCTGTAAAGCTATAGTAGAAAGGGTGTTATGCTTTGATCTGGGAAAATGATATTTTTTAGTTAGAAAAACAAAGTAGCATGTTGATATCGGGGGTCAAGCCAGATGAAAACAACTGCAGCACATGTGAATAAACAATAGTAATCTAATACTGGGGGAATTCATGGAAGCATAGTGTCTTTCTCATTCATAATCAACACATATTGAACTTGTTTATTTACTTATTCATCACGTCTCAGCTCCTCCAGTATCTGAAGGGGGCCTACAAGGGTACTGGGAGAGGACTTTTTACAAGAGCCTGTAGTGATAGGACAAGGGGTAATGGGTATAAATTGAAATCAGGGAGGTTTAGATTAGATGTCAGGAAGAAATTCTTCACGGAGAGGGTGGTGAGGCACTGGAACAGGTTGCCCAGAGATGTTGTGGATGCCCCATCCCTGGAAGTGTTCAAGGCCAGGCTGGATGAGGCTTTGAGCACCCTGGTCTAGTGGAAGGTGTCCCTGCCCATGGCAGGGGGGTTGGAACTAGATGATCTTTAAGGTCCTTTCCAACCCTAACCATTCTGTGATTCTATGATTCTATGGGCCTAGCAAATAGGATGAGTTGGAACTGTAATTGCTCTTTGATGACACGTATGTTGCATTACAACTTTCTGTGTAAAATACGTAGATACCCACAACATGAGCCTTCACTGACATTTACCTGAGGAACTTGGTCAGAGTAGTAGTAAGTGAAAGATGGCACCCAATCATCATGTTAGCATTTTGGTGCCTCTGACTGCCGGTGTTGCAGAGTGACCCTACGTAGAGACTGACTAACTTTATTTGCTACTTTCATAAAAAGACCTGCTTGGGAAGGATGAAGTTGCAAGACACATTAGTACACTGCGGAGTGGGAGGAGAAGCTACAGCCCTGAGTGGCACGCACCCTTGTGCAGTAAGAGTGGTGCTCTTCAGGAGCAAGGGGAGTCAAGATGGGTGCTGGGGGTTTGTGGTCTCTGGAAAAGGGGCCTGGAAAGGCGTCAGAAGGACCTGTCATTCTGTATGCTTAAAAATTAGCATGGAGTTTGCATTTGGTGATAGTACAGTTGATTCTATTTATATACTCAAGATAAATTTCCTTATAGCTCCTGTAATTGTACTGACGTGCTCTTCAGGAGCAAGGGGAGTCAAGATGGGTGCTGGGGGTTTGTGGTCTCTGGAAAAGGGGCCTGGAAAGGCGTCAGAAGGACCTGTCATTCTGTATGCTTAAAAATTAGCATGGAGTTTGCATTTGGTGATAGTACAGTTGATTCTATTTATATACTCAAGATAAATTTCCTTATAGCTCCTGTAATTGTACTGACTATTCCAAATAAAAGTTAATGAATACTAAATACCTGACCTCACGTACTTATGTAAATATTGTAAAGAAATTAGAAGCATGGGTTGCAAATTATGAGGTGTATGAACAGTTCCATTACAGACAGAGGAAAAGTTCTATGTTTTTTCTGACGTAGACTCACCGTTCTATATTCTGTACCATTTTAAACCAGGTAGACCATCTGAACAACTCTGAGTTGTTCAAAAGCCAATGGATAGAGGAAAAATAAAATTAAATACGCTGAACTTCAGCCAAAAAAAGTACAAAACCCCCTGTTTGCATCTGTTTATGTTAGTTCGTGAAAAATCATGGCTCTTTCCTGACAGAATAGACTCCAGTCATAAAACACTTAACACTTAACTCAATAACTTCTTTCCATCTCTACTTTTGACAGATCCACTTATGCTCATGACATATATTGTTTGTTACTCTAATAATTTGAAAAGCTTTCTTGCACTGAACAATAGTTATGTAAGCACTTAAGGTGTAAGGTACAATGTGAGAACTTTCTACATGTGAAACAAGCTAGCTGGCTTGAAAAAAATCATTATAGCTCACAGTGGTTTATACAGTGGTTATTAAAGCCCAAATTTTGCAGTCAGCACACCCTGCAAAAGCATTAACTTTGTGGCAACTATAATTGCACCAGTAAATCTGAGTAGTTATACCTAGCCCTGTCTAATGGTGTGAAGGGACACAAAAGTTGGAAGTGTAGGTGCTCAGAGTGGTTCAGACAGTATTTCTGCTGTACAGAGAATGTGGACACAAGGCTTGTCCTGGGTGCTGTGGAGCTGCAAGTGATGTTTGGAGATTTGGGGTTGTTCTCAAGTGTCCTTGGGAGATCCACAGTTTTTCCTTCTCCCTGCACAAAGGTATCAGATCTGTGGTGAGGAACTGCATGTCCATTTCCAACACAAGGCCTCTCATTTGGACCTTTTTCTTTCTTTCTATCAAAAATTTAGAAACTTTCAAGGAATGTTCTAATGCTTAAGTGGGAGAGATATGGTCAGAGTTCCGAGTGCACTAATAAGCCTTATGGGCCATGCCCAGCCCACTGGGGCTGCTCACACCCTGCTCATGGCCCAAGACCCCATTTCAGCCCTCGGAGCCATCAGCAGGTGTCCCAGGTCCCCCAGCTCTGCCCTGCTCTGCCATGGATCCCACCAATCCAGGCCCCACAGGCCAAGAACCTGGCCTTGGTCTGTCTCCAGGGACGTGACTATTGCCTGGGGTATGGCTGTCCTGGTGTCACCCCCCCCCCCTCGCCCCCGCCTCCCGGCTGCCCTGCTACTGGCTGGGGCAGTGAGATGGGCCCTGGCTGTCAGGCCCTGCCCAACTGTACCTGGGGAGCCTCCATGGCTCTGGGTGTCTGGCTCTGAGGGAGCCCTGATCCCATACAGCTTCCCATCAGGTACATTAGGGAATCTCCAAGTGAGTGTCACTCCTCCTCTCACATCCTGGACCTAGAGACGAGCAAGGGAGATGCCAGTTTTCCCCTCCTCATGCTGGGAGGGTGGGACACCTGGGCACAGCTTCCTGTGTAGAAACAGCCCTGCCAGAAGCTCTGGTTGAGCACAGCCCAGCCACCAGGACCTTCGAGGCCCAGAGGACCTCCTACAGCTTTCATTTCATCTTGCAGATCCCTGAACTAGTGACCACACTGGAAAATGACTTGGGAAGTTATTCAGCACATTTCTCCCTGCAGCCCATGTCCGTGACCCATTTCACTGACCTGTCTGGGACAGGGTTATCCAAGCATTCAGACTTACTGCCTTCTCCTTACAGTCAGCTGCAGGCACAAGTGCAATGAGCCCCATGGGAAAGAGGTGCGCGGCTGCCGGTGCGACAGTGGACTGCTGCTGGGACTACGAGGACACCTGCGTGCAGCCAAGTATGTTCCCTACAGGCAACGCTCAATGGTTTCTGTTTCATTTTGCATTTGGGTTTTATGTGATAAGAGAAGGATAAATCCTCTTATTTATGCAGGTACACAAAAGTTATGTCACATTCCCTCAGGGAGGGAAAGATGTATCAGTGTCAAGTCGCTGCTGCACTCTAGAGGGTTGTAACTTGGAGGCCTGGCAGGACACAAAATCTTCCTGTGGCTTTCTCAGATCAGATCCTTGCGTTTTTATTCCCCAGGGCTAACCAAAGCATTTGCAACCCATATTTCCTAACCAGATGAAGCTGTGGATGACCATGAGCAGAAATCAAAGGTTATCTTTGATCAGGGCCCTGAAACAGTGCTGCTGTGTTGGTACCTCTTGCACATTCGAAAATGACCAGTTGTTTCCTGGTCAGGTGTAGCCTCCAGCCTCATGCAGCTCTCCGTGGGGAGCCTGGGGTTGGAGGAGCGTACTCATCGTCCAGGGGGCCAGCCTGGCTCTGCATCGAGGCTGGAGTCCTCTCCAGTTACTCTTTCTGCTCTCCTGGCAGTTGCTCACATAGGGATTTCTTCATCCTTATCGCTTTGTCCGCTTCAGCCCTTACGTCTCTCTTTTTGCTGTCTGATGGGAATTGCACACAAAAGCAGGAAATTCTCTGTCCCTTCTGTAGGAGAAATATGGCTTAGATTATTTTTTTTTAGATCATGCTGGAAGGTTGGAAGGCATTGAACAGAATGACTTCGGGGACACCTTTGTACAATAAATTATTCTATGACTCTGTGTTACTATTCAGTGGTTGCAGAAAGAGGCTTATGTGTTAAACGAAATCTTGAGTTTTCCTTTCAGATAAAACTTCTAAAGCACCTCAAGCAGGACATGTAAATTACAGTTTACCATAATCTTTTTCTTCCAATTTTCAGCCCGATCTTGGAAGTGCACTAATTTCCGTTGTGGTGAGACACGGATACCTGGAAGTTACTGTTCTTGTTCTGATGACTGCTTGGAGAAAAAAGATTGCTGTGTAAACTACAACAGTGTTTGCAAAGGTAAATCAAAATTCAAAAATATTTACATATAAACTGTCCTGTGAAATAAATAGGTGGCCAAACACGGCAAATGAAAAGGTAGATGCATTTGTTTCTCAAGATTCGTTTTACAGAGACGCTTTGGAAAATTAAGAAGTTCTGAGGTGAAACTTTTGTTACTTTTGACTGGGAAAAAGACAGTTTCTGGACAACAGTATGAATGTGTGTCATTCATAAGAAGGACAGAATGTTTTGAATATTGCAGCAGTAATGCAGCAGTATACCCAATGTGGGGTTTTTGGGTTGTGTGTTTGTGGGTTTTGGGTTGTTGGTTTTTTTTTTTTTTTTTTTCCCCAAAATAGATGAAGACATGTTTCCTGCTTCAAACTTCATGCAATCCAAAGTACATATTGTAGTAATCATTCCTAATTTAAAATTTCCCATCCTTTTAATTAGAAATCAATTTTCAATTTGGGTTTCTTAAGTTTTAGTTATTTCTGAGTATCTTTGTTCATGGCTGATTATTTCATACAGATTCTGGCTCAACACATAAAGAATAGCACTGATCAAACTGGATTACAGGAATGGTACCTGAGGAGTATGCCAGTGGCATAAAACATGTTATGTGTTATCAGAATTCCTTTATATTGTGAGGTGTCAGAGATTTAGGGCAAGTGCTGCAAAATTACTTTGTCATCTAAATGCAAATTGAAGTTAAAAGCAGTCAGGAATTTGACTAGGTGCTAAATTGATTGAGCTGACCTAGTTACAGTCACTGTACATCCCAGCCTTTGGCTGCTTAACTGGGAGAGAAGTTTTCTGTGGTGAGCCAAGAACTTTAACAGCCACTGCTTCTTCTCTTTTATTTGTATTCTTTCCTTTATTGGATGCTTTCCTTCTTTCTTCTCTTACTGACCTCCCTTATTTCTTCCAAAGAGATGGGCAAATATTCGCATAAATGAGTACAGCTGTGAAGCAGGTGGAGAATATTCAAAGGAGAACAGAAAGAATTACTTGAAATTTGAAAGCCATTGTCAAAAAGGGAAGATTGAAGGAGTTTGGTCTCTTTACAGGAAAATAAAGGGTAAAGGGAGCCTGGCAACCATCTCTAAATGTGTAAGAGGTATCTGCAAAAAGAGAAGGCAGTAATCCAGTGTGGACAGGATACAATTTAAGTGTTTTCCATTTAAAACATGATAAAACTTAGTCTAAGCTTTCACAGTGATGTTGTCTCCATTTTGTTTGTTTGCTTTTCTGTGTAGTATATATACTTTGCTTTTAACTTAGAACTGTAAGCATTAAACCTTTCAGGGTTGGAAAGCCTAATAGGTTGCACTAAATAAATACTAAAGGTACCTTTAGTCCTGTGTTTCTATAATTCCGTATTGAAGCAGAAGAAGTACAAGGAAGAGCTCTAAAAAGCGCTCTCAATCAGGAAACTGCTTTGTTGTTTGTGTGTGGTTTTTTAATGCTGACTTAGTATTCCCTTTTGACCTTCTAGGTGAAATACCTTGGGTAGAAGAACCATGTGTATCACTTGAAACTCCTCAGTGTCCATCTGGGTAGGATAAAATTATTTTCTCTCTTAGCAAATAAAATCATTGTGATGGTCAGAAATACTGCAGTGGCTTGAAGCAGGTCTTCATGAGGTTTTCATACTGAGAATAAGGTTTCTGCCCTGAGGAATATTCTATAGAAGTGGTTTGTGGCTAGCAGTGTTTTTGCTTTCTAAAACCTTTGTCATTTTGTTGCACATTAATTTTTCATTTCCAGTTCAGAGCAGAGTGCAGGAGTTCAAATCTAGAATGAAAGTCAGTTTGCAAAGACCTGGAAAAATTGTTAGAGTTATCTCAAGGTTCATGTATCACAAATTGTTCATAGTCCATTTCATGTTACCATATTGTACCTGTAATAATTCAGATAAATCACTTTATGCAAGCTATCGTAATTGTTAGAATCTGTGATTGCAATTTTTTATCTAAGTAACAGGGATTTTTTACTTGAATTATCTGCAGGAAGAAAGGTGCGTTAAAAAGGAAGCTATGAAAGTAGCCATGTATCTACAAATGCTGGAACACGGCAATTCTCATGTCCACTGGTAGATATTTTGCTATTTGTGCAGTATTGCAGAATCCTAGGTAGAGGCTAGGTAAAAACGTGGTTTAAAAAGTTGTTCTGAAAGAAAAATGGATTATTTTTTTGTCAGTTGTGGTATTTGTGATGTTATCCATCCCTCTATTTTACTGCCAATTTTGTTTAATTATAACAGTAATACCTTTAGTATTGTGGCCTCTTCATGGGTTCCTCCCAGCATAGGTATGAAAATACACTTTTTAGGTTAACAAGTAACTTGCTGAGTTAACAGCTGGAAACTAGTGGAGGAGGGCTTCTTTAGGGGCTGTAAACAGCCCTGCTGTGTAGGGCTCAGTTTAATTGCAGATTCAAATCAGGAAGCTCGTTTATACAAACTGCTTTTATACAGACTGTTGGTGCCAGTGTACTTCTGTGATTTGGAAAGACCACTGTGAATGAGAAACGAACTGGGATAGTAGTTACTGCCTGATGTGAATATGTAACTTTTTTAATAGTTATCCCTCAAAATACTACTTCAAGAAATGGAGTCAGTTATCAATAACTGCATTTTATGAATTATTTTTTCCCCAATATTTTCCAGGCTTATGTAGTGAACCATTCCTATAAATTACAAATAGTTGGATTTTTTTTAGATGCTATGTGGAGTGAAGCCTACTTCAAACTACATTTTAAATTTAATTGTATGTTTACAATATTTGTGTTTCTTTGTATGTTTCTAAGAAGACTGCGGAATATATAATGATGGTTAACAAAAGACTGAATTTCCAGAACCGTGTGACTTGATCCTACTGATTTTGTGACTTGGTGCTATAGCAACAGCACTATATAACTGCTAATGCCGTTTTCTTTAGGAGCCCTTTTAGGTTGGTTAACAGAAAGCAAGTTTAAACGCTGAGGTTTATTTTCACAGTTAGCACTTCCTAGTTGGAATTTTTATAACATGAATCTGAACACACTTCTAGAGCTCAGTTGCACTTTGTGCCTGTTTTATCATATCTACTGTATGAACTCAGATCTGAGGCTTTTATCCTTGTTTCTTTACATAGAGTCTTAACCTAAGAACATGAGCAGCTGCTGCATTCCTTTTGTAGCTTTGAGTTTAGTTTGTCAGGGGCCTTGAGGCGAAGAAGTGTTCTCCAGTTCCATGAGAGCTGGGAAACTGGAAAGAACATAGACAGCCTGCTGATGTCTTCACAAAGGAAATGTGGTTAAGATAAGGGGTTAGCACAAACCTGGCATTGCAAAGAGATTACGTTTCCCAGCACAGAGACCGACTGACCCTAACTGCTTGCTGGGTGATTACTGTACTTTTACAGTCCTTGTGCACCTTGTGCCCTGAAAGGTTTTTTAAGATGCATTAAGAGACAAGAATCAGAATTCAACCCCTTACTATGTACAGAGGTACTTCGGCTGTTTTACACTCTGGGCTTTTATTTGGATGCTAGTCTGCAGCATCTGTGTTTCTTTGTACTTGTAATTAAAGATTTGTACCTAAAAGATTAACAAAGCCCAATTTCTTCTCCTAGGTTCTATATATACTGAGTAGTTTGTATATTTTTTTTCTCCCCAGGAGGAGTGTGTTTTTGCAATTTTACTCTCAAAATTGAACTATTTGTTTATCTCACACTGTGATATTAATTATTGGGAATACATGAGAATTCCAAATCCTGCTTTTAAAAGTAGAATTTATTTTGTTGTTAAAGATCTTAACAGGTCAACAACTCTCCAAACACCTATACGATGACAAACTCATTTTCTTGTAGGTTTGACCTGCCACCACTTATCCTTTTTTCAATGGATGGGTTTAGAGCAGAATACTTGGAAACTTGGAGGTCTTTGCTGCCAAATATCGAAAAACTCAGTAAGTTACCAGGGGGGTTTTGCCTATTTGTTTTAAGAGTTTGCATGCAACCGCTCCAGTCCCTTTTGCTGCTGTCACGCATGTGTGTTACTCAGCAATAAGAAAATCACAAATCAGGTCTCCCTTACCAGTTGTATATTTTAATTATTATACATGAACGCTTGTATTTCAGTGCACAACAAACGTGAGGGTTTGTTTTGTTTTTTTTAAACAAGGCCTCTAATTTTTGTCAGCAGCTTTTTATTAAATAAACAGTTTGAAATATACAAATACAGTTTAAGACTGAAAAAAAAGCTCCAGAGAAGGAATACTTGCATTCTCTGTACTCTATTGAAAAATTCTAGCTGATAAGGAGATCATCATTAAAGTATAATATGAAGAAATAATGTATTGTGTTATTGGGAAACTTTCCTCAAAGATGCACTTTTTCAAGTCAGATATTTTAAGCCATTATAGAGAAGCTGCATGTTTAAAAGTGTATCTGTGAATATTATGTTAGACTTAAATGCAATGTAATTTACATATAGGTATAATTTAATAAATTTCTATGATTGCAGTAAGGTTCAAGTAACTGTTTTCCAGTATTTCAGGATATTGGGAAAAGGAGTAAGTTGAAGATCTTTAGCCTGGGCTATAAAGGACTCTAAAAAGGGAGACCCATTAGTGCACACTTTGTTAGAGTTTCCTGTATATCTTAGGGCTCAGCTATCAAGATAATTTGTACCTGGACAAAATGTGATCTTAGTTATTAATTTTTTTTTTCTCAGCAATAATAGTCTAAATTGACAGTGTTTGTATCTGTTCTGAATATATTGTATTCTGTTTCTATTGTGGTCATTGGAAAACTTAACACGGATGTTACAAACTACTACATTTTACTGAATAGAAAAACAATCTTATTTGTGGACAATGCGGGTATCCAGAAGCCTGAACTTGAAGCAGTGCACAAACCTGACTTCTTGTGCAAATTATTTTATGCTTTGATGTCATTCTGACATTGGAAGGAACTTGAATCAGTGAAGAAATCATGCATGCGGAAGTTAGTGTTCAGCTCCAGTCTTTTGAAACAGTTGAAAAGGAACTGCCAACTTGACAAAAGGCATGAAAAGCATGCTACGTGCAAGTTTCCAAGAAATCCTTTCAAACAAGAACATATCTAACTCAGCATTACTCATATTTGTGGTCAATTTTAACAATTGCTTATGCACATTTATGCTTATAAGTCTCAGAAATCTACAGGGGAAAGGAAAGGGAAATTCCTTTGCTCACAAAAAAAAAAAAGTAACTCTGATTTGTAGCATAAAATACTTCCTCTCCATTAACTTATGAGTTCTAGTAGAGCTAATCAATATAGTTGTTAAAGAATACGTACACTATGAAGATAGCTCCTTTACTATTCAAGAGAAATTGATTAAAAATTATGCTGAGTTTCTCATGTATTTGTCAATTATTCAACCTTTCTTTAAACACTCTCAAGATTTTTTTTTGGCACCTCACTGGAACAGTTTTGTAAAATAATTTCAGGCTTTCATTGTTTAGTTGAGGGTGTTCAGTTAAATGAGTTTCTGTTGACTGAAACACTGTACATCAAAGAATAAAGTGTGTTTGAGTGTGAATTAATAATCATCTGACTACAGCTTAATACAGAACTGTTTCTCCACATGACTTTAGATTTAAAACTGGCATTAAGGCATCTTCAAGTCTTTACACCTTTGTTTTGTTGGTAAATACTTTGGATACTAGAGTGGATTTAGATATTACAGATGTTCAGGCATGATAAGTGCCTTAGATTGCGGAAAAGTGACACCATGCTGGGAGGCAAAGGTGAGCCACCTGGGGTGGGATTCACTTCCAGAGTACGACACCTACAGTTAGGTATGTTCCAGGAGGTGTCTGCATGTGAGAAGTCCCCATGCTCATTGTAGCCAGTGTGTTTATGGTCAGTACAGTCTGTACAGCTCAGTGCAAAAGCCTAGAGAGCAGGTCAGCTCAACCTACAGACAGAGGGTGCCACAGTACAAATCATTGCTTTAACCTCTGTTTCCAGTATGCTTCAGAGTGCCGTGGTGTGTGCCAGGTGGGCCTTCAGCAGCTGTGTCAGGAAACATAGGTCTTCCGGTGATCTTGCATCAAAACTGCCAACTCTCATGCAGATGTCTTGGATAACTAAAAAGGCATGTCAAATGTCAACAGACTCCAGGGCTTAAGCAACTGAGTCCTGAGATGTTGTGGTCATCAAGGCAGCTCTGCAGAATATCTTGCATAGGCCGACCTGAGGCTTCAGTCTCATCACGTAACCATGTAATGTGTCTAGTGCCGTTCTGGCCTCAGAAGTAACTGAGACACTCCTCTGGGTTGGCAGTCTGGATGTAGGAGCAGCATGTGAAGGCCAGGCAGGATCATTAGAGATGTCTCAAATGGCCCTAGACATCTAGGCTTTAGGCAGCTGAACTGAGTGTCCGGGGTCTGTTGACTGCAGTGGGATGACGGTAGGCCTAGCTCACAAGGAGACAACAGAATATATGCGTCCCTGTTTGGAGTCACATTTTCCCTCTAATACCACAGCAACTGACTCCGGTTATTTTTTCTTTGTTTTTAAGAGTGTTAAGTTTTCAATTTAAAAAAAAAAAAGAGCAAATTTATATTAATTCCATGATCTGTTGCAGAAACATGTGGCACACATTCAAAATACATGAGAGCTGTTTACCCCACAAAAACCTTTCCAAACCACTACACTATTGTCACAGTAAGTGAGAATTTGTTATTTTATCTTTTCATTATCTGGATGACATAGAAAGGAATTTGTGGTGCCAATCTATTTATTGGGTATGGGAATTCAGGCTATACGTGTAAAAGAGAGAGAGAGAGAGAAATGCTGAGATAGGTCATGCCTGCATGTACTATGTGTCTATATATGTATGCTATCTGATTCTGGTCTGTGAACCGGTTATTCCTGATCTTTGTCAGTCTCGTCAGATGCAGGTGAGTATGGGTAATGACACAGCCATTTGATGAGAGTGTGTTAGGATGAATTCGGCAGCTGATATACAGCTACATGACATACATAGTACTTAATCTGTAGCACATCAGGTTTTAATTGGACTGGGGGGAAAGCATGGGGACAATCATGCTGAATTCCTTTGCAGGATGGATGATCTGTGTGAGTTGGGAAATCATGTTCTGTTTCTGCAATAAAACAGTCCTAAAAATAATTGCAACACTGCAGCAATGTGCATATCATCATAGTTTAGGCTCCATTTGATTTCAAGATTCATTGCGTTTTTTATTTTCATTTTGCAGGGATTGTATCCAGAATCTCATGGTATTATTGATAACAGCATGTATGATGTAGAACTGAACGAACATTTCTCGCTTTCGGGGACGGAAAAATTCAAGCCCTCATGGTGGAAGGGGCAGCCAGTAGGTTTATTTCTCATCATGGTATTCTTTTATGTCTAGAGTGGCTCATGTGCCATATTAAATGAAAAGAAGAATAAATGCAAAGCTGTGTAATGTATTTGCAGTATGTGCTAAATATACTGTAGGCTTCATATTGTGGTCTGCCTACAAAACAGTTTTCTTTTTATGAAAGTAAAAGAACTCTTAAAATGTTAATTCTGGGAGTTCAAAATTTTACTTAATGTGGCCGTTAGTAGAAAAGACTTAAATATTTTGGTTCATATTGGAATGGAAATCTTGCCACAGGAAGCCACAGTAAATTTTTTATATGGTTTCATTGTGGGTTTTTGACAAACAAAACATTGTCTTTTGACAACAAGCCACAAAATGAAATCTGAAAATCTACTGCTATTTACAAATATACTTACAAAGTCCAGTCATATAAAAGCAAGGAAGAGAATTAATTTCCAGCAAAATGAACACTTCTATAGAACATGGCACATTTAATAAAAAATCCCACCCTGATTGTACCTGTGGTTATGAGTAATATTATTCACTTACTAGAATAATTATCAAGCTGTAATGATGGGACAAAAATATTAAAAATATACGTAGTATATAGTATATCTACTTTATATATATATTTGTATGTGTGCATGTATATATAGGTATATGTCTGTCTAGTCATATTTATAGTATACTCAAGTACCCAGGTTTGGGTGCTATTTTTTCATGAAGGATTTCATCAGGTTTGGAACAGAAGCACAGCTGCACTCTTTAAGATGAATAGAAATATGCTTTCTTATAATACAGTCGTGTAACTAAAATCCATAGAATAGAATAGAATAATTTCAGTTGGAAGGGACTGACAACAATTGCCTGACCAATTAAGGGTTGAACAAAAGTTAAAACATTTTATTAAGGGCATTGTCCAAATGCTTCTTGAACACTAACAGGCATTTCTTCTATGCTAAGAATACCCAAGAAATGGCAACATCCTGGCTCCCATGCTACTAATTTTTCTTTGGAATATGTATGTAAAAAACAAACTTCCAATCAGACATGTGTTCATCAGGCCCCTGTGTGGTGTGTGAAAGAAGAAAGAGAAATGCATACTTGCAGCCCATATTTCTGATTCAACTATGTGTTTTTACTTTGGTGATCTGAGGTCCTCCAGTGATGTAAAAGCCATAAAATCTTTTTTTTTTTTTTAATCTTACCCGTAGGTCTGGCTGACAACAGTGTACCAAAATTTGAAAGCAGGCACCTTCTTTTGGCCAGGCTCTGATGTTGAGATTAATGGAACATACCCCACCTTGTATGAAGTATACAACAAGTAAGATTTTATAGGGCGTGTAGCAAATTCCTGTACATTACCCCAAAATCCAAATTGCCATATGACAGTTGAAGGAAATGCAATACAAGATTTTTAAACTACAAGATTTTTAAACAACAGTCTGATAGATAACTGCTGTGTCACATGATCCTGGTTTTGCCATGGAACTGCCAATAATACTTTAAATTTTCAAAAATATTTAGAGGACTCACAATGAGACTGTCAAAGGGTTCTGTGTGTTCTCCAATCCTAGACGGTTCTGAGTTTCAGCCAACTGCAAACCGCTGATCTTGTACTAGGAAAGCATCCTATAGCTGATTAGTGGCCACTGCTAAGCTATGCCAATGATACCATATTTCCAGAGATAAAACTTACACATACTAGACAGCCCTTTAAAAATACTTGTACTGGAGAATAAGCTTTCTGTTAACCTTTCCCTAAGATAACAAACACAAACTTGGATGCCATTACAAGAATGGCTATAGAAGGTAGAAACTAATTGAAGAGAGGGTGCTGGATAGGGAAGCTACAGAAGGAAGAAGGATTCCAGAACAATTCCCTCCGGTCTTGCTTGCATTTGTGATAATGTGCTGAATCATAGTTCTGTATGTTTGTGTATTTAATTCACAGGTTACACATGTGAAAATGTAGCAATTACCTTCATAGTGGTTTGTTTTTTTTTCCTTGTGGAAGGCATTGATATTTGTAAATGATTTCTAAATTTTCATGATGATTTCACTAACTCTCCCATGATTCTTCACATTTACAGAAATAATCTAAAGCAAGTGTATAACTGTTAAGTCTCTACAGATACCTAAGGTTTTGCGGTGACATGTAGGATTGGTACTCAGAAAAGATCTGAGTACTGTTGGTAACTAACATAAAGCTTGTGCATGACTTTGGGGGAAAGCAAAGCTATTAATGGGTGAATTTCTTCATAAGAGACAAAGCATGACCTCACAAAGATTTTACTGGGGACTTTACTTGATTTTAAAATATGAAGCCCAAGGTTTATACATGCTGGAAAGAATAAAAATTATTCTGGCTTCAGGCTTATGTCCTGAACTTGAAATCGCATTTTTGCATGTATTTAATCATAAATATATGAGTACTCTCACCAACACGTTTGTGTCTGCAAAGTCAGGATGTCTCTAATTTACCATTAAAAGTGAGTTACATTCAATCAGAAATTAGAAAAATAAAACTGATTGTTGATACCATGTCAAGATGCATTATTCTTTAAATCCAAATCAGTGACTTTACTGTGTTACTACAGGGTGGGAACTTTCTCTGTATCTTAGAATTAGAAGAGCTTATCAGAAAAGGCTTGTTAACTTTTTTTTTTTTTCCCCCCCTCCAGTTCAGTTACATTTGAACAAAGAATTTCAGGTATATTGAAATGGCTCGATTATGCCAAATCTGAGAGGTAATGCTTACTAATATCTAGCTGGTTTGTGGGACTATAGCTTAGACAGGTCTTAATGCTTAGCAATTGAAATTTCTAATGGTGTTTGTGAAACATGGAATCTTCCTCACCATCTCAAATGATAATTTACTGAACTTAGACCTGTTCTGTAAGTACAGCTACTAATTTTCAGGATAAGGTCGTAGCTAGATACAAAAGATGAAAAAGTGCACATATGTCTGAATGGAATGTGTTGTTGCATCTTTTTTCTTGGGGCATGGCCTAGAGAAATCATGGAACATTCAGTTTCTACTCTAAGTGTATGGATAAAAGATTTCGTATGAATGATATAGCACAAGAAAGGTTAAAGATCTTAAAGTAATTTTAGACAGTAACTCAAGATGAAAAGTAGATGTCTGTACTGATTGTGCTGCTCAATCTGTGACATGTAAACAAGTGAAATCTTTTATATGACAATTTGTTAACAAATTCCTAATGTATTTGCAGTTAGGAGATGCTGTCTAGAGCCTCACTGCTCAGTCAGGAAGAAATCCTTTAGGGCATATTGCCACTTACATCTCATAAAGGAACAGTTTGATCTGCTGCCTGACATCTTCCAAATTTTTCAGAGTGATTTCTGGATACTGATTAAAGACACTGGATACTGTGTCTGAAACTGAAATTTCAAATCGTCTATGTGGATTAATTAAAAAACTCAGAGGAAGTTTAATGACTATATTTGCTGTATGGGTTTATACTGAAGTATAAAGAAGTTATTTATAGTTTCATTTTGAGTTTAGTTTAATATTTTTTTAAAATAAAAGTGTTCTTTTGAAATGCTCTCTTCAAATTCTCATAATAATTAATTCTTATTTATTTCTAACTCAAGGCCTGATTTCTATACTTTATACATTGAAGAACCCGATTCTTCTGGACATTCATTTGGACCAGTTAGTGGTGGTGTAAGTACTTTTTGTGGTTCTTTCAGACTAAATCACACTAAGATTGGTGCTGTACTATGAAAAAAACTTGGGAAGTTAGTAGATAAAAAATTACTGTGACTGTTTTATGAGGTTTTATTGAGAACTCTTGCTTGCGGTTGAGCCCCTTGTTATGACTCCAACAGTGTGTGAATGAAAAGAGCTGTAAACCAAACAGATTGGCAGAAAATAAATTCAGATCATACTATTAGCAATAATATTAATAGTTGTATTTATTCTGACCTTTAATTTTATTGGCAAGTGATACTTGGAAGCATGTGGCCTGGCAAATTCTCAGAACTGTCTTTCATTTATTCTTAACACTGTACTTCTATGTTTGTTAATTTGTTACGGAAAAACATTACATTTCCACTTGCATGCAGGCAAAAAGTTCAGTCTTTAAGGAGCTTATCAGCTCTTTCTTGGTATGGTCTTGTTTAATATATTTGAAAATGTTCTGCAAAAGGCCTCATTGTAGAGGACAAGGACAGAAAACCTGATTTTTGTAGGGTAGTTTTAGGCTCCGTAATTGGAAAGGGAACTCCATTTGTCTTAGCATGAGTGGCTTAAAAACCAAACACAGTATGTTTAATTGTATATGTGTACATTGTTCATGCACGCAAGACATTCAAGAGAGTGCAGTAGAGTTAGGGGGACAAGAAGAATGCAAGTGCTTAGATGTGGGGTCCTCAGATTCTGGCGGGTGATGTCCTTACTGCAGGACTTACAGGAATACTGTATGTCAGCTATGCCAGCTGGGGAAGAGCCATTCTCTGTGAATGGCTGCAGGGTGGTTTGTGCTGGATTGTTCTCACATGACTTCAGTGATGGTCAGTGGTTGTCTGTAGGAAGTTTAAAGGGACTGTGTGTATGATAGAAAGGCACCATGCCTTCTTAGATACTACGCTGGTGTTACAGATAATAAATATGTGCAAATATTTTTGAATTTTAGAAAAATTCTAATGAAGCTGGCTTTTCTCTCAGGTAATCAAAGCCTTACAGCTAGCAGATCAAGCACTGGGGATGCTAATGGATGGACTTAAACAAAGAAACCTGCACAAATGTGTAAACCTTATTGTTTTAGCTGATCATGGTAATGTATATAGTTCTTTTTTCAATCTAAACATTACTGAGTCATTGTTTTCTTCCTCTGTGTAATATGTGTGCTTACTAGTTTTAATCTATTTTATAATTCACTTGATCTTCCTTGCTGTATATTGTATAAAAAAAATAACTGTTTCTATATTGTCCTTTAGGGATGGAGATGACCTACTGCAAACAGTTAGAATATATGACTGATTACTTCAACCCACTTGATTTCTACATATATGCTGGGCCTGCAGCTCGCATTCGAGCAAGTAACGTTCCACAGGACTATTTTACTTGTAAGTGTGGACCAATCCTGGGATTGCATAATTAGTACGACATGAAATAAATAAATAGGGAAAATGGATAATCAGTAGGAATCAGCAGAGTGAACAACTTCCTGTTTCACTTACCTGGCTTAAACATCCATGGAACTGTGGGGGTTTTTGTCACAAGAAAGACCCCTTTAGATTAAATTGAAGGTTAGAAAAGCTTGTTGCAGACTCTCATTTGCATTTTCTTGGCATTTGGAAAGATGAAGTAAAGATAGTTTTGTTGTTTTGAACTGGAACTTCAGGTCTTTCCTAAGTGCATTGCTCTTGATAGATTTCTTGTGGGACATTGGCAGAGTAAGTCTTTTTGAAGCAGTGACTATTCCTAACTGTGTGTACAAAGTTACAGAATCTGAATCTTAGCACACTGGGGTCTAAGCCTTGGTTGAGTCCTTTATCTAGTATCACAAAAGAACAAAAAATTGAAAATATGTGACCTGACTGACTCAAAATAGATATTGTGCTACCAGACTGAAAAAAATAATTTCCCTCAAATCCCAAAACTTTCTGTATTAGGGAAAAGTATGGAGAGAGGTAAAATCATGGAAGTGCTGTTTAGTGAGTATATAGAATTCATAAAGTATTCTAAAAGGCATAGTTCTTGCAGATCTCAAATAAAAAGTGGGATCCCATTGCACTTTTTATTTATCTTTTCCAATTGTGTTTATATTTGTAGGCACATTATTTACAGAATATAAAACAGAATTTCCTTGGTTTAAGTAGAGGACAGGAACAAGTCTAAGACAGGATCAGAGTAATCAGCAGAGGAGGGAATAATGATGTTTTGTATGTGTCTTGATCTCAGTGCAATTGTTGACTCATTTCATGTAATGGTCTTACTTTTTCTGAAGGAATTTTCCTGCTGTAAAGTGCTCAGATTTGATTTTTAGAAATCTAATGTCAAAAGGTTAAAGTCACTCTTTGAAAATGTTGAAGGTGAAAGTACTAAGACAGACCGGATTTTGCTCTGTGGCTGCTGCTGGATGTGGAATACAAGACAAGTGCTCTGGGTGCAGTTTAATGTAAAAAAGGTTATACTTCAAACAGAGGTTTGGTGGGAGAAGAAAATTTGGTTCTGGTGATATGTTTAGGTGTAGGGAGTCATTGCTGTGGCAGTTTTCTGCAGTCTGTCTTGATGTACCCAAAGTAATAGGTACTTCCACAGGCTACCACACTTATAGACCGTTACCCTTGGAAATGTAACATTGCTACCTGTGGAAGGTTATGGTTAACATAATCTTCATGGGCTAATAAAGAAAAAACATGTTGAAATTTTTCTCATGAGGCTTTGGACCTTCAGCTGTTTGAATGTATGTTAATTCATCTTTTCTTTTTTAGCAGGAATTGTTAAAAACCTCACAGTGAGTAAATATTTTCATGATTTTTCATCATACATCCTCTTAATAGGAACCTGATCAAAAAGCACAGTTTGTGAAAAACTGAGACTACAGTTCCAGTTTAAATAGTGTACTGAATCCAGCGTACCATAGGACACAGTTCTGGAAGCTGTTCAAAGATGGTGCACAATGGTGGTTTGCCATGGGGGATCTCTGTTCAGAGCAATGGAGTGTTCTGCACTTCACTTTGAAGAAGAAATGGCTGACCATGTGAAGGAAGTAGGGTATATCTTCATTACAGAACAGCACACAAAGCAGAGATGCTTTAGAGAGTAGACATCCATTAGCTCTGGACAAGTGCTGCACTCAGGTTAGCTTAAAGCAAATCTTCCGCACAACAGATAATGACATTGTAGAGCACATTGCCACAGGGTGTTGCAGAGGCTGGAAATATTAATAGGAAGGGGGTATTTTAGACAAATTAATGGAGGACAGGCCTGTAAGGGCTATTAAACATGATTCACAAGCAATGTCTGACTTAAGAAATCCCTGAAGCCTAGACGAATCTGAGCAGGTACAAGGAAAGGTTCACTCAATACTTGACTGTTTCTTACACACTTTCTCTAAGTATCTGATTCTGAAAATTCTGGAGATCTGATTGCAAACAGAATGCTAGACAGGATGGACCTTTGGTATGAGGCCATGTGGCTCTTCTAGGATCTGTTACAACGTACCACTTAAAGCAGTGCTTTTAGGTGTGCTGCACTACCACTTGGCCCCAAACTGATGGTTGTGCTTGGGTCTCTGCCATACCATATGGAGGCAGCACTTCAGGGCAGGTCCAAGCTTTTCCGTGTCTCCCATGCAGATCACTACACCTTGTGGGTACGCTCTGTGACAGCTGAGCTCTGAAGGGTGCAAACAAAGGAGTGCGGAACAGAGTGCAAAACAAATGAAAAACAAGCCTATTTCTTTTATTGAAAGGTGATAAAATGTGACAGTGCATGTTTTTCCTTATAGTTTTTTAGATAGATAATTTGCTGCTTTTTTTTTTAATGTTCAAGATACACATTAATGGATGTGGGATAAATGTTGTGGACAAACTAAAATGCTTGTAGGAGGGTTGTCTTTTTGTATTTCTTTGGATTTATGTGTTACAGTTAAATATTTAAACTGCTTGCTCTGTATGTATTCTAATTTTCCCTTCTTTCCTTCATTGCCAGTTTTCTTGCTATTTTGTGACTAGTCCTAGTCCAAGCTGTAGACAGATGTTCTGATACTTTTAGAGCACATGCTCTCAGCTTGGAAAATTTCTGGGTTGTTTCAACTGGGTACACTTCTGATAAATCACCACTAGAGGTCTTCCTGTAACCTGTTGAACAGCTCAGTTGTGCAATACAACGTGAAGCTTTTGCCTGCCACTGAAGTCCTAAGGGCAGTGAACATGCTTGTTTAATTTTTTCTTGATTCTGAATACCTAAGAACACGTCGTTTATTCCCAGCATCCAAAGCAAATGTGGGAGTAGGACATCAATGATTGGGAATAGCAGAAGGAGCTTTTCCAGTGCTACATCCCCCTACCCCATTGTATGATGTGGAGCTTGTCAGATTGAAGAGCATTACTGTGAGTGGAATAGCACAGTTTGCATGTTCTCAGTCCCACCTGAAGCTGCAACTGCTGATATTTACAGTGTTGTGGCATTTCTGCATTACAGGAATAGCCTGTAATCAGAATACTTCCTCTTTTGTTTTCTATTCATAGTTAGAATTCGTGTATTTTGTCCCTTCCAAGTTCTTAGAATGAGGGTTTGGGCAGAGAAGGGAGTTGTGTGTTGTATATTAATTGCTAATCAACAGACATAAAGTCATATTACATGTTGATTTCCTCTATTTTTCACTTTAATTAGGTTAGCCTTTGTAGAATGACCTCACCTCCTGGGCTTGCAAACCCACTGAATCCTTGTTTTTTGTGTTTCGGGATTCCACTGTGCTCCTTTGGTGACCATCCAAGCACACTTACTCTCATTTCACACGTTCGTGTCATTCTATGCAGAGTATACAATTCGAGTACTTAGAGGTGAAGATGCCCAGTCAGACTACAAGCATGCTACAGTCTGTACTGCCTCTAGTACAAAGGTCCCTTTGTCTGGCCCACCCAGCTTCCTAGCAGCTCCTCCTTCAGCATTTTAGCTGTTCTGTGTTGTCCCAGTGCTTGGTTCCCGATCAGGAACAGCACTTCTGAAACACTGCCACGATGCTTGCAGCCAGCTGGAATGACTCCTGATGGCCATATATAGTTAAATCTTTGCAGCATGTCATATGGTTGTTATTAGGCTCTCAAAGCCAAACTCATGCATGGCATGCCTGCTAACACCACGGTTATATTAACAAATTAAATGTGGATGTAAAAGCTAACAGCTTTTACAGCTTGGCTAACAGCTGAGCACTGGACATTTACATGGCATGAGAATACATGTTCAGGCTTGCAACTAAAACCCCAGACTGTGCTACCTTATGTATACTTGTTTTTCTTTGTTATTGACTGAATCATAAAGTAATAGGAGATGGCAGAAATAGACTGCCAAGGAACTTTCTCTTGTAGACTGTAATCTTACATACTAGATGTCAGTGACATTAGTATGGGAGTATGGACTAAACATTACTACTAAATGTCTTTCAGCCTTAGGAGTACTTTTACCACATTATTTGTGAAATTGCCACACATAACACAGCAGCATATTTTCAAACAGTTCCAGAAAAAACCCCACTTTTTGGGCCAAAAATGAGATCTGCGGGTTATCAGAGCAGCTGTCTGTGAACAATGTGCCTTGGGGTTACATTCTTGTCACTAAGAGGTTTGTGTTTATTTTTGACACTGAGTAAAATCCATGACTGGGCTCTTTCCTCTTGCACAGTGCAAAAGATCCCCTCAGCACTTCAAGCCTTACCTTACACCTGACTTGCCAAAACGGTTCCACTATGCTAACAACATTCGTATTGATAAAGTTCATCTTTTGGTGGATCGACAGTGGCTGGCTGTGAGGTAACATAATTTGTATGACTGTTTTCATCTTACTTTTTTCATCCCATTCTCATCCTTTTAATTTCCTTCACAGGCTTCTAATTTCCTGTTCTGCTTTAGACTTTTTACGTTTCCATGTTTGTTACATTTAAAATCTTAGTATATGTAAAAAGGAAACACAACTTATACATAAAGCCAAGAATGTATTATTAGTACAATTCAAATCTTAATAGTCTAATAAAAGACTTGTCATTACTCCAGATCAAATTTTTACAGAAATCAAGGAAGAAAAAAGAAAATAAATTAATACTACTACACAGAAAATGTCTCAAAACCAATGCAGTTAAAGTTGTTATACAAAGCCTTCCTAGTATCTGGCCCTTTTCCTGGCGTTAGTCATCCCTCCACTGCCCTTCCGGGTCCTAGGGTTGATGGGTTCAGACTGGTGCACGTGTAGATACGGCCAGTAATTGGCATTATGAGTCCTTCGTCAGGAGGAATATGGTGTCGATGTTTCCTCTTCCTCACCCTGTGATCCGAACAGGGTCCTTCTTGTATGTGTGTTAGCACTACAGCTTGCTCATTCTTCAATGGCCTCCAAGTTAACACTACATCTCAGTTCACTAGGTGTGGTGCATTCTACATGTGTTAGGTATTTGGGTTTTATTCTTTTTCTTAACCCTAAGTCTGGTTTTGCTCGGTTCCAGATCTGCATTTCCTTAATTGACCATCGGTGAGTTGTTTCTGGCCTTGGGGTCTCCATTCTACACTGAAGAGCTAATTGTTACTGCTATCTGTATAAGAACTATGTCTTGACATGCAAAGATAAGCTGATAAGATGACAAATCAGACATAACCACCTTGTTCTTACACGAAATTGCTGTGAGAGCTAAACAACAAAAAAATAGCTCCGAGCAAGTCAAGAGCAGTACACACAAGCCTTAGTCCTGAAGCTTTGAAAACTCCATACAAAGCCTGTGGTGTTAGTAGCAATATTTTATTTACTGAGCTATAGTGTTGCAGGAGGAGAAGCATGAGCCGACTTGTAATTGCAGCACTATTCAAATAATGGGAAATGCTCCTTCAATATATGACTTGATTGTTTGTTTTGATGCAACCAAATAATTGGCCCGGACATGTAAAAGAAATGCCCACTGAAAAATCTCATATTCACCCTTTTTTAAACTGTACTCAAATATTCTTGTGCCTCTGAAAACAGGATACATGTGTTTGACAACTGCACATTGAATCAGTATGGGATGACTATCTCTTTATCTTTCCATGTATCTCAGCAACGGGTAAATGAAAACAAGTTAGTCATTTTAAGTCAGACTATTCTGACTTGTTATTAATTCTATAACCCACACACACATCCCCATCTCTCCTTCACCCTTTAGAATCCATGATGAAAATGCACTCTCTTGTAAGGAAAAATGCCTTACATTCTTACTTATATTGTTCCACAGAGGCTGACAGCAGATTTCACCCATTATAAGTTTTGTATTAAAATTCAGAAAGCACAGGATATAATTGAGGAATTCTTACTAAGCAGATTACAATTGTTCTGAAACTTGTAGCTACGTGAAGGCCTCAGTTTAAAACCAGCCATTTTTTCAATTTATTTTGAAAACACTGATTCACTGTACACTCAGTAGCTATGTAGAGTAATTTATTTCTGTCCATAGAAATCTCTGTTACAGGAGAAAGAAAGCTTCATAAAAGTGAGCACTGGATGAGCAAAAAGTACTGCAATGCGAGGGTCAGTTCCTAAGACATGATCCAGAGTCCAGTCAGTCAGGATGACTGTTATTAACCGGTTCTGTTTGTGCCATTTTTATTTACACTATGTGTTTCTCCTCAGGGACAAAAGTTACACATATTGTGATAGGGGTAACCATGGCTATAACAACGAATTTAAAAGTATGGAGGTAAGATGATTTCTATTCAAGTCTTACAATGTCTTATATTAAAAAAAATCACAATGTGCTAGGTGAACCACCAGAATACAGAATCCATGATAGTTTTTACAGTGTGTTTTTACTTCTGTGTCACCCAGACATGTAAACTGTGAATGCATACTGAGTCCACATATTCATATTGCCTCACATCGATGTGTACGAGGCCTGCTTCCTTGGGATCCTGTAGTAAAATTTGTCTGGGCTCACCTTAATTCCATGGAAGCAGATAGACTACAGTAAACCAAACATTCCATGGAGTACTGAATTCTTTCCTTCTTTCATTCTTCTACTGAAGCAATGACTGAAAAATCTCCATAGACTCTGGGAGTTCAGTTGAGTGTCTGAAAGCCTGTGTGCTCAAATAAACTGAATCTCACTGTCTCTGCTTATCTTACAAGGCAATTGTTATCATCAGAGCAAAAAAGCCCTCAGTATAACCTGTGTGTTACTATAGACTGTATTGCAGTTTCATCTCATTTTCACTTATGGTTACAGTGGAAATACTTTGAGGTCCTAAGCTTTTGGATTTTATGTACTTTCTATGTTGTGAACCTTTACTTAAGGTCAAGCAGGCTACTACTAGTCCCATATTCTGTGCCTTATAATCAGATTCATCTGGACATTCACAACTGTATTAAATATAATGAGCAGAACGGTGCTGAATGTTTCTATGGAAAGAAAGGGTGAGTTCTGGTTATAACAGAAAACTTAATCATAGATAGTCTCATGCTGGTGGCACAATGACTGAGGAAAAATTTTTTTCTTTGTAAAGGAGCAAAATGTCTTAATGTTGTCTTTTAAAAATAAATTAAAAATTCCTTTTCTATTATGGGAACATATGAATAATATTGTAGAACAGATCATTGTCCTGTTTAGTCACGTTTCCTGTATCTTACGCAGGCAGCTCAGGAGCAGTAGAAACTAATGTGAGACTGTAAGTAGTGTCAGTGTTCTGGTGCAATGCTTGCAGACCCCAGCAAGGGCCACCCAGCACTACACTGGACTGCTGGCGGTGCTGACGCAGGTCTCTGCTGAGCTTGGGCTGGGTTTCTGCAGTTCCCTGCTCCTTGCTTTAGCCATGGCTGTAGGCTCTTCAGTGACCCAAAGACTTGTGAGATTGCAACATGTATTCAAACAAACAAACAAACCCCAACCTTCCCAGTGCTTATATTTCTGGCTCAATATCAACCTTTAGACAGGATCTGTGAGTTCATAAATCTGCATTTTTTTCAAGTGGCATTGTTACTGGCTGTTAGAATGAAAATGTGAAAAGGTGTGACTTTGAAACATAGCAAACAATAATATTCATGTGTGCATCAAAATATTAAAAAACATCCCCCAGATTCATTATATAGTCTAAAGTATCCTGAGAAAGGAATTTATGTTTTGAATTTTTCTTCAAATTATATACAATGGGCAAAATTCACCTTTTTTACCAGAACAATCCTATATTTAACTTTCATGACTGTAAAGATTTTGTTCCAGTGTCTCTGTTTCCTACAACCGAACTGGTTTTGAATTTGTATTCCTTTAGATAACAACTTCTGTTTTATTGCAATCCAGGCTATATTCTTAGCATATGGCCCAAGCTTTAAAGAGAAAACAGAAGTGGATGCTTTTGAAAACATCGAGGTTTACAACCTTATGTGTGGTGAGTAGAAACAGTCCAGTACTTTACAAACCAACAGTGTTTTCAAAGACCCGTTTTGTGAGAGAAGAGTAACTAAAAATTGAGTGAATTAATACAGAAGCTATTTTTTCACACAAAACACTGAAGCCATGCTCTTTTGCCTTCTGTACAGTGCTAAAAGATTAACTGCCAGAATTGTTCTGCTTTGAAGGTTGTTTCTGATTGCAGAAGTATTGCACTAAAGAATCAGAGAGAAGCGATCCTGCCACATGGGCTTGCTGTTGAAACAGTGCCTCTGGAATAATTGTGGGATAAGAACCTTGTAGAGTTACCACTCTTCCTCTTAACTTAAGATAGACTGTTGCAGTCCTGGCGGTGAGCAATTGGGAAGTATTTGGCTCAGAAAATGTGGATTAAGGCATCACAGAAAAATGCAGTAGGCTAGTACGCTGCACAATGTCATGCATTTGCAATCACATTTGTACTCTGCGTTCAACCATCTAATCTTGTGAATGTTACGGCAATGTAGAAGACTGTGCCAGGAGTACCAAAATACATAATTACCAGTGGAAGATAGCAATGAATCTTCATACCTAGGAACTTGCAGGTTGGTAGTAGGAGTTACCATAATAGTTTAGATAACTGAATAAGGTACTTCAATATTTAGAATGAATGCATAGGAAATGCGTAGAATTGGAAAGATTAACTTTTAAAAATACTATTGTAGTCTTGAAATAGTTTTAAAATTTGTGTACAAATTTCAAATGTTTCAACAGATTTGCTGCATATTACACCAGCACCAAACAATGGAACACATGGCAGCTTGAACCACCTCTTAAAAAAACCTTTTTACAATCCTTCACATGCAAAAGAAGACTCATCTCCTTCTTCATGTCCAGTTTCCCATCTGACTCCCATAGATGATCTGGGATGCACATGCGTGCATGTAAGTAGGGGCTTCTGGGATCTTTTAATCATCTTTGTCAAGTGTGTTCTCTTTTCTTTAGTTTTTCTAAACTATGGATTCATTCTCAGTGATTCTTTTCTATTTTACAGATATCAAATGTTTCAGTAATAAATGAGAGGTTAAATCTCACCACAGCAGAAAGTAAGTAGCAAGAAATGAAAAGGACAGCAATATTTTAAAATCTATGCCTGGTTTAGACTTTATATTATTGGTTTCAATAGGAATTTTTGTATTGTTAATTACAATTTCAAATGAAGCAGGAAAGCCATGTCAGAAGCATAATTTTTTTCTTTTTTCTTTGCATTTCTTTAAAAAATTATATTTGATGCTGTTACAGCAGCATTTATGCATAATAACCATATCTGAATCCCTGTTAGAGAAAAACCATGCAGGTTTCAGTGGTATTTGGAGAAAGCCTGAGTATTTCCAGGCTATATGCTGTAACTCTTCTTCCCCACCTTGTAACCATAATTTTCTCTGATCAAAAAATCCCACAGATATTTCTATGTGCTTTTTAAAGGGATTTCTGGAAATTTTAGGATGCATTATAGTGCTTCCTGGCCAAATAAGATGTAAATTTCATTTCATTGGCAAGACAAGTTAAAAATATTTACATTATGAAATGACAAAGAAACAAGAATTTACAGAAGTCAATGTAATATATCAGACTTGCATGTTAAACATAACATGAAAACTATATTCTACTTTTTTTTATTCCACTTGGAAGCTAAGAGCTTAAAGAAACACATACCCATGTTTACTGGTGGCTGTATTTGTATTAATGTTTTAATTTACATTTTTCTCTGCTGTCCTAAACCTTTGCACCATCCAAATGTTATAGAAGAATTAATCAGTACCTATTGTTTGAATTCTAGTAGAGAATGCAAATTCATATCATTTGCCATATGGGAGACCCAGAGTTCTTCAGAAGAAAAATGTCTACTGCCTCCTTTGGCACCATCAGTATGTGAGTGGCTACAGCTACGATATCTTGATGCCATTGTGGACCTCATATACTGTGAATAAGCTTGTAAGTTATCACATATCTGTGCTATTCTTAAGTATGTAATATAATGGATTGAAAATGTGGTTCAGGCATCAGGAATCCTGGTTAAGGACTGGTGGATACCATGTGACTAAGGCCCTGCCTGCAGACATCTGTGGAATTTAAATAGCTTAGCTATGTAGAATCACTGAAGTTTACTATAAAAATATATTCAAATGTATAACAATAATCTATCCTGCAGTGGGATGAAAATAGCAATGACACTTGTATAAATCACAGGGATTTTTGGAACTAAAGCTCAGTGCACTGGGGATTACGGGAGCTTTGTTTTTTGTGGTTTAGTATTTTTTTTCTTTTTTGCTACCGAAAAAAGATTCCTGGAGGTGGCTGAAGTTGACATGATGGACCACAGCAGATGCTTGAAGTCTGTCATGTAGTGCAAGTGACTCGTGCTTCTCAATATTAAGTACTTGCTTGTCGAAAGACAATAACCTGCATCAGAAAAGGGAATGCATGATTGTGCTAGGCAAAGCCATGTTTTAGTGGTAACTGTTTTCTTCAGTAGACATTATGGTTCTTTGACCTGAAAGGCGTGGAGTCAAAGGACTAAAGCTGTTGAACTGGTGATGAGGCTTTTTTCCTGATTCTGAAGTTTTGAGGTGGTGACTATCACTGTCAAGATCTCATTTCTTAATAAATGACCACTTTCAACAGCTTCTTTGAGAATCGTTCTGTTCCTATTCATAGGTGATCCCTTTTAAAATAGCTTATTCCTCTGTTTTGAGGCAAAGAAATGAAGAGAGGTTGTAGCAGAGTGAGTTTATTAGTTTACAGAGCACTAGCAATATCGCTTGCAGTCTGGGGTTGCATTAACTGTCGATCTTATTGTACTAACAGATGACACAGACATAGCTGTTCTCATCTCAACAGCTTTTGATATTGTTTACTTGCTGACTTGTAGATCCTTGAAAAAACAAGCTGAAATGTTCTTGAGTGGTTGCTTTCTCAGTATTTTGAGTTCATAGGTTCATAGTGAATTCTCATTTCCTCAGCTAGAGAATTTTCTCCTGTGATGTCAAATGGAAATAGCCATGAGCAGCCTTCATTCCCTATATGTATGGGAGTGTTTGTGAAAATAGAGGTTATGTGACGTATTACATATGTGATGGACAGGCAGCTCCAAACCACTGTCCTCCTCCCTTGGCACTTGGATTAGAGCTCACAGCTCATAATAGTTAGCGTCAAGAAATGTGAAATAGTGAGAAGAGAGTTGAGTGGTGTCCTTATCGCGTCAAGTTGGAGAAAATGTGAATGCTATTAATAACCCAGATTTGTGATACAGGTGAAAAGTAGATTCCCTGCTATATTTGGGTAACATTAGGCATGACACTGTATTTAGTGAGAAGAATTAATTTCTCTGCAGGACAGCCCTTGGCATGCTTGCTGAGTTATTTTGATTCAGGTTTCCCTTCAGCGTCCATACAGAAGCTGAAACCATTGTTGAATGTCACAGCTCAGTTACTAAGTTTAAAATATTGCTTTCTTCAGTGACCCTGATCCATTAACACTGCCCTATTGATTTGGACACTAGAAAGGACAAATTACTCAAATGAATTGGATGTCACTTTTGTATTGGGATTTACATCTGCTTGACAATGACAGCTGATCAGCTCAGGTGGCAAAGCAAGTCTTTTATATTTCATTCCCTGAGGTATATATATTTTTCATTAATGTACAACCTGACCATAATAGAGGCATCTACAGGAATTCTCATGAAAGTTAAGTAAAGAAATTGAATCAAAGCATACAAAGATGCATAAGAAGAACATTCCAGTTCTTTATTTCTGCTTGGTTTTAACCTACCAAAATAAATAACATACTGAAGATCAATTTATAGGTTTAACTACTGTTTATAAATGTATAAAGTTAATAAATATGTTCCATTCTTACCAAAATGAAAATAAATTACATGTAAATGTGTAAGAAAAAGAAAATACAATTAAACACAGGAAAGCATAATCTGATGTTTTAGTTAATGCTATCATAAAATTATGATAAATGTTATAGGAATGGTTATTAAAAAAAAAAATTGGTTATAGAACATATATATATATATACATACACACACACTTGTCAGAATCACTTTTGACCAGACCTTAGCTAGTGTACATGTTAAGGTGTCTCAGCTCAAGTTAGTGAATCTAGCCAGTAAAATGTTCTGAATTTATTATGAATTTATTTAGCTGTAACGCGTCAGCAACACAGGCTTTTATTATGGAGATAGCATCCACAGCTGGAAGATGAGGTGATCTTACGAGTGTCGTCTTTATACACTAGGTGCATTCCAGGAGGATGTGACATCAAGTTTGTGTTTCCAGAAATATGTAAAAGTGACGAATGAGCCAAACTTGTCAACTCTTCTTGCCTAAGGCATAACCTTATTTTGCTACTACAGTTTTACATGCTGCATAAGGATTTCCCTGAATTAACTAAAAACAGAAGTAGAGGAAAAACAGTAGGCAGAAAACATCAGGGTCCATTACTTGCATTGACCTGATTCACTATGAAAATAAGAGAAGATTCAATGAAGTCCATTCTAGAAAGTTAAAACCATACAAAGCATTGGATTAGCCACAGCCGTGGGTGTAATACTTCTTTTTTTTTTTTCCCCACAGGAAAACACATCTCCTCTTCCTCCCACTGTTTCAGACTGTCTGCGGGCTGATGTTAGAATCCCTGTTGCTCGGAGCCAGAATTGTTCCAACTACCCAGAAGGGCTGACCTTCACCCGCAGTTTCCTCTATCCTCCCAGTGAGCATGGTTCTTTTTATAGCTAGAGCTTAGAAAGTCTTAATCAGCTGGATGTGGGTTTATGTTTAAACATATACCCAAACACCAAAACAAACTTCGTCGGATCAGCATGTTGGGCAGAAAAAGGTTTCCAGCATTTGTAGACTGACCAAAAGCAGGACTTGTATGTAAATATTTTCAGTTTAGAACATTTAAGTTTTTCTTTAAGAAATGGAACAGCTTGACTGTGATGAAAACTGGTTGGAAAGGTGTAAAGGGTTGGAGTGAAGGGCTGTCTCTCATCCTCCATATGTATTAATTTCCTATTATCAAATTTGATAATTACTTGATTGAACAGATCGTACAAATAAATTTGGAGATATGTTTGCAGTAGGATTGTATGCTCAAATGTAAAATGTAATCAAATTACATGTACCTGCATTTTATAGTGACATACGAATCAAATTCATCTTTGTATAGTATTTCATTAATTTACACTTTGTTCTTTTATTCAGACTTTAGTTCATCTACTCTTGAACAGTATGATGCCTTACTCACCAGCAATATTGTTCCCATGTATAGAGCTTTCACAGGTAGGTTGCAAAGTTTTGATTAATTTTCATTAATTTTCTGTAATCATGGTTCTTCATTTTCTAAAGCTATGAAAGGGACTTAAAAACATTAATGTGTGCCCTGCAGTGTATCCAGACCTTGTGCAAATATATATAAAACTTTTTAAAATTAGATGTGGGAAATGTTAAAGTGCACTTATGTAAGTTGTATTTTTTTCTGTATATAGTCCTGTCTGACCTCTCCTTGGGTGTACCTGCTCACTTTTTAATTTTCTCTTCTTCTGCTGTGTGCTGTCCTAACATGAAATGCTCACCATGAAACTCTATGAAAATATCCCCCTGGGGAAATGCTCAAGGTGAATGAGAATGGCGCTTTTTCTTTCTTTTTGCAAGGTCTCAAGACAGGATGATGTTTGTAAAGAATGTTCTGATACGGTGCCTGTTTCCTCAAGCAAAAATTGAGACCAGGCAATATTAATCTTGGAATATTTACTTCAGGCAGATGTTTCTATTGTACAAGTGCAGTGAGCTACGTTACCTCTTTCTGTCCAGCCCGGCTTAATTTTGTCAATAAACGCTGCTAAGGAATTTTCTACAACTGCATATGATCCTGTTCTACTCTTAGGCTTTGGCTCATTTTCTCAGACAGCGGATACAAAGAAGAAATACTTAATGAAAAAGCTGGAGGAAAAACAGCGATGTAACTACCTTTCTAATGCATTCAGACCTCATTTATTCATTCATTCATTTAATATAAGAAAACATATCCAGAAAACCTAAATGGCTTTAATCTTCCAAGTAAATCAAAGACATTATGAAAAATCCAATTTTCCAAGGAAAACTCTGCAAGAGATTTAAACTTACAAGAACTTACTCTAGACCATAAGCAAGATGTAAATTAATAGGGGATGCCCTCAATCCCCCATACCTATCTGGGTTTTTTTGCCATGATAGCTGTAAATATTTGAATCATCTCCCTAGCTTATATCCTACAAATCGTACTTTCTCAAATAACATCTGTGAAATGAGTCAAATTGCCTTGTGATATTTGACACGAGTTCTGTAGAGTTAGACCAACTCTCACGTGGTCAATATTCCTCTCACAAAGCTATTATCACAGTTCCTGCTAATTGGAAGGTGCTAGCAGATGGGCCAGAAATTAATAATCTCTCAGCTCTAGATCTGTAGCTTCAGCTTCAGATCAAATGCTTTACCTCTAGTACTGCAGTGGACCTTGCTGTACCATGCCGCTTTCAGTGGTGAGTGGGAGTATGTCCCTTCTGAAGAAATCCAAATTTTGTGAAACAAAGGGTTGATTTTACAGGCATTTAGTTCAGAACTTTTTATTACTCTTCTGTAGCAAAAAAGGAAGTATGTTCTTCTTCTTTAGTGGTGAGATAACTTCAAATTTATGTAAAATATGATTATGTTTTCTTTTAATGACAGACATATGGGACTATTTCCATAATGTACTTCTTCCGGAGTATGCTAGAGAAAGGAATGGAGTAAATGTCATCAGTGGACCAGTGTTTGATTACAATTATGATGGCCATTTTGATACTCTTGATGAAATTAAGCAGTAAGTACATGGAAAAAACAGAAGTCAAACTGCAGATTATTTCCCGCTGTATTTCCACACAAACAAATTTCTATACAAAAAGAACAAGAAACAAGTATCACAGAGAAGGGAGTGTTCCCTTTGGAATACTGCATTCACCGTTACTCGCACAACAGCAAATACTCTTGCAAACGGACACAGTATTGTAGAAATTGAAGTTCCAGTAAAGAGAATAAAACTTTGCAGTTACATGTGTATCTATGTACACGCGCAGATAAAGACTCGTAACTTCCCAAGCTTATGTCTAGATTTTTGGGCCTCTGCAACACACATGCTGGGAGAGTATATGACATCTAAATATGCAGAAGATGTGTTTAGACGTAATTTTCTCACTTTCATGCTGTGTTCAGTCACCTGTTTGTTCATACTGATGTGTTTTATCAAAGATCAGATTTCTGTGTTTGCCTTCACTGAATTGTGTAGGTGGGAATGTAACATTCCGGAGTGATACCTTTGCATAGCTATGGCTTACACAAGTCACTTGGAGGTCTGACAAGTTCTAGGTACATTTTCATGAGCTCTGGTAGCATAACAAAATACATTTAAGAAATCATCTGTCTATAGAAGCAGAAATAAGAAAAAAAAGAGAAGACACACAAAAAAATTTTATAGAAGAGGAATATAAAAGATAAAGACCAATTATTTATGTTAGTGAATGAGGATAGAAGGAGGAAAAACCAGAAAAGAACAAACAACTTCAATTGTTCCAAATATAGAGAAAATGCCTTGTGACAGTAAGAACACTTATGTAGTAGAATTGTGCTGGGAAATCTGCACAGCTGAATCTGTCACTGGAGTTGTTTTATTCAAGGCTAGACTTAATACCACATCTGTTAAAAATGGTTTGAGAATGGGAAAATCGGCTCTGCCACGAAGTAGGAGGGTGGAAGGGAGGAGAGACTAGAACTTCCTTCCAAGCAGAATGCTGTAATACCCGGTTGACCACATGTTGTTGTCTACAGTTTGGAATAAGCATGTTTTACTCAGCATGACTAGTCAGTCATACGAAGCAGTATAATGATTTCAGTTACAGTGTTTTGTTGAACGCTGAAGACGTACAGCAAATTTGGGAAGCATACAGCTCCTCGTAAGTTTATATACAAAAGTGACCATGTTCACAGAATAGCCAGAAAAGGAAGGCAAAGACATTTTCAATCAGGTATCCTAAACTGGTTTCTATAGCACAAAGCCAAAAGTCATCATACTGGCTTTTCTAGTTGACAAGGAACCAGAAGCTAATTTTCTCATTGCTCTTCTCCAATTTAGTTTTGTGTGGTTGAAATTCTTAATGTAATGAAGAGCAAATACGATGCTCTATCCTGACTCTTCCAGATGTAGAGATCTCCGGCTTCAGCAAAATAGAATGTTGACCATGTAAGCAGTCCTGTTCATCTCAAGGGGACTGCTTGTAGCAAAATGATTAATCCATGCATGTTTGGCTGTTCTTGAAACAGATAGTGAGCTTGTCTATCCCATCAGGTATTTACTTCAATTATAAAACAAATAAAAGTCATATAGCAGTGAAAGATCTATGATGAGATAAGTTTTATGAATTACTAATGGCATCAGTGGTTTTATTACTTGATATCTAGATAAATCCCCTAATTAATGTGTTGGGTTTTGTTTGGTTTTTTATTGTTTTGGTTTGGTTTTTTTGTAGACATGTAAACAATACAGAAATCCCTGTCCCAACCCATTACTTTGTGGTTCTGACTAGCTGCAAGGACAAGTCCTATACGCCATTCAACTGTTCAGGCTCCTTGGATGCTTTGTCTTTTATCATTCCTCACCGACCTGACAACACTGAAAGCTGTGCTGTAAGTATGGTTCTATGCTCTTGTGTGCCAATGATCTTTGTGAACTGATTCCCAGTGGGATTCAGTCATCTGGAGAATTTTTAGAAGTCTAAGTGTTTAATTAATTCATTCCCCTTGAGTTGAGAGGGAGTGTGGTGCTAAAGCAATGACTAGGAAAGCAAAAAGCTCAAGAAGAGGTAGCTGGAAACTAATGAGCTGACAGGAAGCAAGGAAAATGAAGAAAAGAGGGTTTGATAAGAAGGCTTGGAAATGCTGTCACCTGAGAAGGGCTGAGAACAGCAGCACAGATAACAGGGTGATGAGAGATCTTTATGGAAGGCTGCAGGCTAAAGTTTCTGCAGAGGTATCAAAGGACTTTGAATGTTACTCCCTTCAGTGTAGCTAGAAGAATTCCTTCTATCTTTTGTTCCACGTATGTCAGAAATTAGACAGTAAGTATTTAGATGGATGGTTCTGCAGTTGAAATTTAGACATGAATTAAATAAAATCTATGCTTACCACTGACAATGTAAATAATATGTTTAGTAGCAAACAAAATACATTATCCAAGTGTAATATGTATTGTCGAGCCAGCTGAGTGTCTGTTCCATAAACTGCGGGATGCGGAAAGTACCTTAGCTCAGTGTGTGTGTGTGTGTTACAGAGTTTCTCCCACACACATGTAACTGCACAGACTTGAACTGGCCCTCAAAGCAATACAATTTTGTTTATTCAGTGTATTTATTACTTTGAACTCATAACTCCAAGCAGGTGCAAGCTTGCGCTGTTTAGAAACAGCTTGAGTGTCTCCTCATTTCTGCTGTGGATCATCTACAGCTGCCCAGTGATCTCTGTGGGAGTTGAGAGTTGGCAAAATATAAAAAATATATAATTTGAATGGATTAGCCTTTATATTTTAAAATTAACATCTGTTATTTCTAAAGTTTATCGACAAACACCAAATATCATTGCACTTTATAGTAATTGTATCTTGCAGTGATGTGGATTCAGTGAACCATTTGTGTCAGAAGCAGATACTGGTAACAGAAAAGCAAATTACCATCTGTTCACAAAAAACTTTGTAGTAAAAGAGTTGAACAATAGCATTTTTGATTGGTTAGTGCTCACGTTTTCATTGTTTTCCTTGCCTATCTAGCAATTATTGCTGTCCAACCGTCAAGACGGAGCTGCCGTAAGGACTTTGTTCAGGTTGTCAGGTGCCCGTTTGGCAAGCCTGAGCACTGCAGCTAGTTTCTACTGTAACTATCCTTACTTGTGTGTTTAAAACATGACTCAGCTGTACTTTGTAGTCAGAAGTCACACTTGCCATTTCAGCATGATTTTGCTTCTCTGTTACTTTGGAGCTGGGGAGAGGGGACATCCACTTGATTGCTTTTAAATGAGATCCCTAAATGCAAGGCTGTAAAGATGCCTGGGAAAACCTGAATGAAGTTTTACTACTGGAGGCCTTTAGTGTCAAACCAGTTCAAACACTGATTATTCTCTAACACCACCACCACCACCAAACAACAGAGTGCCTTTTATGTGTTTGAACATTGTTCTTACTTGTTTTGGCAGGAAAACAAGACACTTTCCGAATGGGTTGAAGAAAGAGTTCAGGCTCATTCTGCACGTGTTCGGGATGTGGAGCTGCTAACTGGGCTTGACTTTTACCAGGAAAGAAAAGAACCCATCTCTGAGATCTTACAACTAAAAACATTTTTGCCAGTATTTGAGGCTGAAATTAACTGAGTATCTATTAAAAAAGTGTCAGTGCTTGGAAGAAAGCAAATTCAAGCGATTTACCTTTTTTCCTTGCCAAAGTATGTAGGAAACACGACTACAGCTCTTCTATAGGAAAACACACTTAGAGGAGCTAATTTATTTTTTCAAATTCATGTTCTTTGGTCAAGTGTTTTGTGCCAACTGAATAAAAAATACCTAAAGTAAATTAAATCATCGTTGCTGAGCCAGGCTTTCAAAATAGAGCATATTTTATTAGTAGTGGTCTGAAAAAAACCTGCAAAAGGAACACTGTGCTGTGCACAAAGTATTGCTGAGGGCAGGTAAGTGGGACAAGGCAGTGGAAATTCCCAGAACCTGCTATTACAGAAATGCCATGTGTTAACTGAGTGTTGAGCTGATTTTCTCCCCAAAAATGCTGCTAACTGCAGGTATGAATAACAGCAGACAATTGACCATTTGTCTGATTTACAGGGACAGTGGGGGAGTTTTAAAGAAACATGTCAAAGAGTGTTTCAATCTGTGACTGACTATGGACTGAAGGAGATATGTCTGTTTAAAAAAGGAAGCTTTAAAAGTCTGTTAAAAACAAGCAAACAAACAAACCACAATAACAAAAGCAACAAAAATCCTAACCCAACGGAAAAAAGCCAAAACCACCACAGGCCAATTTTTTCCCCCACATCTTAGACGATCAGTGTAAGCACATACACTCCTAATGTAGCAATATTTATGACATCAAGGTGTGGGACCAAACTGAATGTTAAGATCTGTATCTTGGGTTAAACCATTACACTGTCTTCTTGAATGTGGAATTGTATTTCACCTTGCAACACTGTGGGATCTAAGCCTGTCCATTAAACTGGAGACTTCTACTACACTGCCTTAATTAAGAAATAACTGATTTTTCACTGCATAGCAAAACATACCCTAACTTAATCAATGAATCTACATAACACATAACAAACTAGGAATGTAAATTAACTAGTCCAGAATCATAACATTAATTTCAGAGATATGAAACAAGCAGTTTCATAAGAGTATAATATTTGGTCTATCTACATTAGCAATTTAAAGTAGAACTAGCTCAGCTGTTGACATGTAGACATGCCTCTGTGAACAGTTACACTCGTGTTTGATTTATGTATATCTCTGGATACCTTCATGATGAAAAAATGCCTTTGAGGTTTGCCCAGACTTCTGAAAATTAATTTCATTCATGCTCACATGCATGACAGGTATTCGACTTAAACAGCAGCTAAATTAAATCATTGTCCTCCTTCACAAGATTCTTTAATGTCCTTTTTTATACAAATATTTAGCCTCCCCCCTCAGAAGCACCCCACTGTGCTGGTAAAAGTTGTCCCTTGTGGGTAAAGAGTGGGCTGACCCAACCTGTGTTTCTCAATCGGTGTTTGTACAGCACCCAGCACAAGAGGATCTTGATCACATACCTGGGTTTCACACAAACTGTTGCGGGAATGGAGTCTGAAGCTGCAGTTACTTTAAGAAAGCAAATATGAAAGTGGTTTTGCTATGGTCTCTACAATTCGTTCAGCTGTCATAATATCTCATGTTCGAAACGGTAACGGGTCATTTACAGATAAAAGTATGGAGATCACATAGGAATAACTAACAAAATTTTCTGTGAGTAAGGGCTTGGTTCTTAGCCCTTTATTCTTCCCTTGGCACTGATGTAAGGGTACTCTTGTCATGTTGCAGAGTTTCCAGCTTTCTCAGTGCCAGTTCTCCATGCAGTATCATACAGCTTCTGTCATACCCCATAACATAAACTCTGCTATAAACTGCCCCTGGCAGCATTGTGTTCCCTCTCCTCCTCCCCAGAGGCTGTAATACCCATCTGTTAGCTGACCTTGTGGTTTCACAGGCCTCCTTAAACCTGTTGCATTTTTTGGTACTTACAGGAACAAGCACGGGCAGTTTTCCCCATCACTGCTAAGTTCAGCCAGGGAGCCTGGTCACTGACTGCTCTGAAACACGTCTGCATCTCTGACTGACGTGGTGGAAAGCTATGGGCTAAGTTTGCTTGCCTTCCCTTCTCTAGTTACACAAGCCAGTGCTGGTGCTGGAGACTGGGAGACCTAGTAGTGAAGCTGGTAGAATGACTAGGGGACAGATTTGGCCGCATGTACCGCCCTTGTATCACATAGTTAAAGCTGCACATGGGAGGAAGTGCAGCTCTCAAACCCTAGAATATAGGCAAGGGAAATCCATTGGTGTTTGGGCTTTGTTGACCTTATCTAAAATTTTTAAGAGGTTCATAGGCTTGCACAGGCATTTTTGTTTAATTGTGAAAAGAAATGTAATGCCTTACGCATTTATGGAAACAAAACATTAAAGAAATCTTGACAGTTCATAAGAAAACACTCAGTACTGTGTACCTGTGGTTGTATTACCAGTGGAAATACAGCCTGAAACTTACGTAGCTCCCTAAGACTTTTTATAGATATTTTCCTTTTTGAAATAGAGTAATTTCTGCAATTTGCATGGAGATGGAAACAAACAGCTGCCTCAAACAGAATTCACGTGCCTCTCAAACTACAAACCACAACACAGTCACTCTCAGAACCTAAAAAATTTATTTCATTCAAGTAACATTGACCTGGAACATTTCAGCCACTTGTATTTTAAGACTTTCAACTGGTTGTCCTTTTTTTCCATTTCAAAAGGAAAGAATATTTATTCTTCATTATATTACCAACTATACAAAGGTTCTGATATGTAGAGGAGCGTAGTGGGGGGGAGTAAGTTCTATCTTGCCGTTCAAAGGCAGCAAATCGTATGTGATGCTTGGGGCCTGTTCCTTGTTGTAGGAAATAAGGACAAAAGAACAGTTGACCGAATGTATAAAATTAGTTATTAAATTACTCAGAAATGCTGATATTTATCAGAAGTTAAAATAAAGAAACAGTAAGAGTAACAATAAACAGACAATAACACATGTAAAACCAGCATACGGCAAATATTTAATGTAAAAACAAGCTCCTCCTTTGATAACCACTCTGCTTTTTCCTGAGAACTAAGAAATCATATTGTTTCTGAAAGTTTCAAGCTTTATTTCCTAGGAGATGTTGGTTTAACTTCCCCAAAATGGCAAGCCCTTTGTTTCTGTGGCTCTTTAGGCGGTTTTGGTACCCCCAAGTATCAAGCTGGAGTGGAATAGGCATAAATCAGTCTGCTGACTGTAAAAGAAGGTGCTGCTGAGTCTCATCTCTTGTAGCCACCCTGTGTGTGAGAATTAAAAACGTAAGCTCTGTAAAATGTGATTTTCTATAGACCACTACTGAAGCTGAGAAACTGAGCACTCCTGTAGCCGCTGAAAATCTGAACTCGTGAGGATCTGACTGTTTCCCTCCCTTATGCTTGGATCCTTTTGAGTTTTAGAGTATTAGAACCAAAACTGTAAGCACGTATAGAAATTTGGCACTACGCATAGCTAAGTCTTGTCTCTGTAGCAGGGCAGGGCAATAACGAAAGAGAGCAGGCAAGGGAAGCTGAACTTACCCTGCTCCAGAGAAACCTACAGCCAGAGCAAGGAAAAGCTCAACTGAGTAT